ATTTCTTAACTATTGACATTTTTAAAGATATAAGCTCACCCTGACATTACACTCATCGAGACTTTTCATTTGAGTACCCACATCAATTTTTCATATATTTTATATATTTATATATATTATATATATGTACATATGAAAAATATATCAAAAATACATGTGGGTACTCAAATGGGAGGTTTCGATGAGGGTCACATCGAAATGGGTTTATTTCTTAAGAAATGTCAAAATTTAAGAAATTACCGTGTATCTTGTGAAATATTGACATTTTTAAAGATATAAACTCATCCCGACATTACAATCATTGAGACCTTTCATTTGAGTACCCACATCAATTTTTCATATATTTTATATATTTATACATATTATATATATGTACATATGAAAAATATATCAAAAATACATGTGGGTACTCAAATGAAACCTCTTAATTAGTGTAACATCAGGATGAGCTTATATCTTAGAAAATGTAAATAATTAAAAAAAGTACAGTATAACTTAACGACACTATACATAGTTTGGTTACTTTTTAAGGTCTTCGTCTTATTATTCTAAATTTAATTAAAAAAAAACTAATTTTATCATATAAATACACCAAAGACAAAATTTTACTTATTTTCTTAGTTATATACATTTTTTTTCTACAGGATTTAAAATAAAACACACTGAATATTTTATTATTTTTATTTATTTGATTACAAATTTAATAATAAAAAAGATTATTGATTTTTTTTATATATATTTTTAAATTAAAGTCAAATGAAATCTATCAACAAAAATATTTACATAGAAAAAATTGATATAATTATTTAAAGTTTTTTCAATTACTTAACTATGCATCTAATATAAATTTACTACTTAATGAAATATTATACATCTATAATATAAAATCTGCCATTTTTAAAAGATAAATTTTAATAAACAATTTTTCTCTAAAAAACTTTATAAAATCTGGAGTAATACAAATGGCACGTCAAATAAAAAAATGGCAGTTTTTTAATAATCACATTGTTCGAATTAATAATTATGTGTATGGTATTTTTTTAACTTACAGTGCTTGAGCACAAGTGTAAATAATAATAATTAATTAATTAATATTTATATATAAATGTGTATACATATTTACACTTTTTTTTTTTTGTAATGGTTTTGTAGCAAATATTTGTATCAAAATGTACAAAATAAATTTAAATGCTGGATATGTTTTTCATATTAATTGACAGTATTTGTATTTTTGTCTATCTCTTTCTGTTATTATTATTATTTAATATTTACGTATAAAAATAATGGTAATAAATATCAGTATCAAAAAAAAGAGAGCCTGAGTTGCAAATACAAAAATACAATATAAAAAATTTTTTTTTTTAGCAGATATAAATTTTACAAAATACTTTTTTTATTTATGCTAATTTTGAAAAAATATTTTGATTTATAATTTAAATCACGCATGCGCGTCAAATGTTCCACGCATGCGCATAAATGTTCAAAATAAAATTTATAATCTTATTTCAATTATAAATAAACTAGATATTAAAAATTTATAACTTTTTGTCTTTTTAAAAATTTAATTTTTTAGAAAAAAAAAAAATATTTGAAAAAAAACAAATTTGTGCATCACACAATGGACGTTTACCTTTTTTTAATAAGTAAAATAAAAAATTAAAATTCAAGTTCCTCAGCAGTACGCGATAATCTATGATTATCAATACGTCGACGTTGACTACGACGTACTGCATCAGCTCGACGGTAAGGTTCTGATCTTAGACCAAGTAAAATATCTTCTAGCGCACCATTATACACTTCATCTTGTTGCAACAATTTTTTCTCATGTACTAAACGTGTTTTATTTTTCAATTCATTTATTACAGCATCCTTAAACAATAACAATCATATATATAATTACAATTAAAATTATAATAATAATAATAATAATAATATTAATATTAATCAATAAATTATTTACAACAAAGACATCAAATTCTCTGTAGCAACATCAATGCAAGCTACCGCATCGTGCCTTTTTATCTAGCAATTATTATTTTTATTTAATTATAACTAATCTATAAGGGTACGGATTAATTATTTATTACATTATGAATATGAATATGACAATGGTGATGAAAATTAATATTAATTTTTAAACAGTAATCATATTTTTTTTATAAATTATTTAATTTTATTAATCTAGAATTTTTACGCACATGCGCGTCAATTGTTCCACGCATGCGCATAAATTGTTCCAGGTATGCGCAACAATTGTTCCACACATGCGCATGGATTATTCCATGCGCAGAACAATTGACGCGCATGCGCATGAATTGTTCCATGCGCAGAACAATTGACGCACATTCGCGTGAATTGTTCCACGCATGCGCGTGAAATGTTCCAAGTGACCAAATTAAGGCTTGGATTTTTTTTTTTACAATTGTAATAAAATAATTTTTTTTTTTAACAAAAATTGACTGTTTAAAAATTAAAAAAAAGGAGGTGAAAGTCAAGTGAGAGAGAGAGAGAGGAACTTACATGATATTAATTGTTTTTTTCTACATATTACGTTCTGAGCTCCAGTTCATTGAGGTGACGATGTAACAATGTCTTGTTTGTGTTACAGCAAAATTTCGGTGCCTTATTAAACCCAAATAAATATGTAACAAATAAATAACAACACGTCGTTTAGCCGATCACGCATTTTATTTATTCTCAACACCACACAGCAAAGTAATTTTAATCTGAAGTTTTATCAATTCGCGTAATAGTATATATAAATAAAATTATAGTCGTGCATTTATTAACTAGTGATGGTCGTGCATTATTTATAAATAATAATTACGGATTGCATGCAATTAAAAGGCACTGATGATCACACAGAAAATTCAATATATAAATAATAAACGTGCTTTTATTATTTAAATATTTATTAATTTAAGTTTTTTGAAAATTATTACCTGCTGTTTCTTTTGATTCAATTTGTTGCGCTTAGTTACTTCTTCAGAAGTACTGAGAGCTTCTGCGGCTGCTGCTTCTAACCTGCGCCTCTGTTCATTTTCTTGATCTGCTGCCTATATATTAATATTAAATTAATTATTGTAAATAATTTTTAAAATTAAATTTTTTTAATTAAAAAAAATAAATAAAAATTAAAATTTATGCATTAAAAAAAATCAATAAGAACTAAAAGTTAATTATTACAATTAAAAAAAATCAATAAAAATTGAAAATTAAATTTTTTAAATTAAAAAAAAATTAAAAAGAATAAAAATTTAATATTTTTAATTAAAAAAAATCTATAAAATTTAATGATTGAATTTTTTAATTAAAAAAATCAATAAAAATGACAAATTAAATTTTTTAAATTAAAAAAAAAAATTTAATTAAAAATTACCTTAAAGGCTCTCGCAAACCTAACAAGCAACGAAAAGAATGTGTTGGCATCAGCTTGTCTTGGACTTTCGCCGAAAAATTCAACACACTCACGGAATGCATCACCAGCAATTCGTGCATCTGATTTTAATCGTCTCAATTTTTCCTCTGAATTATTCAAAAAATCTCTTAAAACTGTATTATGCTTCTCCTTGCCCCTTAATTCAAATTCCTTGCGCACCTGATCCATTCCTTTCTCCAACTCATGCACGTCAGTCGTTATATTTTCCAGCGACACAGTAGCAGCCTTGTCAATATACATCAGCTCGGACTCGAAATTTATCAGCTCTGTAAATTTAAGTCTTATGGTCGCCACAATATAGTGCAGCAAGCACATCCGCTTGTCAGTCGACTTGGTGTCCAGCAACGTGTCCAAACTTTGAAGCTTGAATCCGTATGCAGGACCTCGCTTGCTGCTGTTCAGGTAATTTCCAAATGCTAGAATTATTTCCAGGACTGCTCTTAATTTTTTTGAACATTTTACTGAACTTGAAGCAGATATCACAGCGTGTACTTGAGGCGTTATTAAATGTAAATTGTCGAAAAAATTTCCAATGTAATTCATTATTTGTAACTTTGTTGATATTCGCTCTACTTTTCCTAGTTGCATCAAAAATTTGTCTTCTTCTGTTAATAAATTTACATTTTTCTTCTCGATTATATACTCTCGGTAAGCCTTTATCTGGAAATAATTATTTTTACATTAGTAATTATTGTAATTATTTTAAAAATTCAATTAAAAAATTATAAGTACCAATTTTTTAAAGCATTTTTTAATTGTAATTAATTTATTATGAAAATTGAGTCAATTAAAATCTTATAATTAAGAAATGACTTTGTATCTTGTGAGCTATTGACATTTTTAAAGATATAAGCTCACCCTGATGTTACACTCATCAAGACCTTTCATTTAAGTACCCACATGAATTTTTCATATATTTTATATATATAGTATTTATGAAATATATAAATATATAAAATATATAAAAAAATGTCATGTGGGTACTCAAATAAAAGGTCTCGACGAGTGTAATATCGAAATGAGTTAATATCTTAAAAAATGTCAATTATAAAGAAATTACCTTGTATCTTGTGAACTATTGACATTTTTAAAGATATAAGCTCACCTTGATTTTACACTCATCAAGACCTTTCATTAGAGTACCCACATGAATTTTTCATATATTTATATATATTATATAAATGTATATATGAAAAATATATCAAAAATGCATGTGGGTACTCAAATGAAAGCTCTTGATGAGCCTAACATCGGGATGAGCTTATAACTTTAAAAACGTTAATAGTTAAGAAAGTGCAACAAAAAAATTTATAAAAAAAATGCAAGGCTATTTATTGACAATATTTTAAAAATTTTAACTGAGTATATGGAGCCTTTAGTTACGAGTGTGTTGGCGCAATGAGCAAAGTGTTTGTGCTATAACACAAGTGTCAAAAGTTGTAAAAAAAAATATATTACAGAAGCAATCTTTCGATTTAAGCTTCTTTTTAAATTTCTAAGATTCTGAGTTTCTTTATTGTGTATATTTAATTATTTGTAAGTAAATAATACTTACTTCTTGTTCCGTAGGTACCATACGTTGTAATAATTCAACATTTTCCAGAGAAAGAATTTTTAAATCTAACGCATTCACTGCTGTTATTACTTTTTCAATTGGCATTTCCATTTTTCTTCTCGATATTGCTAAAAAAAAAAATAAATTATATTGCATAAATAAACTACAATATATAAAAATTATATTAATTACATTAAAAGTCTCAATTTTATATTTTATATTTTATAAAACGACTACTTTTAATCAATCACTACTAGTTATTTAAAAAGTGCAATTTTCTTTCTTTTTATAATAATTACTTTCAAAGATATTTTTTATACTGTTACTAATTTGAAGTTATAAAATAAATGAAATTAATTTAATTAATAAAACCAATTTGCGTTTGAATAAATGAATAAATAAATAAATAAATAAATAAATAAAAATAATAAAATTTAATTAATAAATTAAATCTTACCAATATTTCGTAATCTAGTATGTTCAAGTAAAGACACATTTTCCGGTTTTTTAAATCGTTTACTTGGGAAACTTTGTAGCCCATCAATTTCATTAGTACCATTTGCGACATGACCGCTCATACCGATTTTAAATCTTTCTTCAAAGTCCGTAAAATCGATGTAATTGTGCAGTCGATCGTCGTCCAATTCATTAAAAATTGTACCGCGGACTTGATTAGGTTTCAAAGCAACCCAATTGAGCGTTGGTAATTTGTACTTCGTTTGTACCTAAAAAAAAAAAAAAAACCAATTATTGTTAAATATTTTTCTTAATAATTTTTTCACATTTAATTAAATAGATAAAATATAAAACAAACCTTTCGTTTGATAGTCATAGCACCGTCGGGAGCTTGCATCATGCCGGCGGGGGGAGGAGGAATAAAAGAGGAGCAAGAAATTTTATTATCACCCGGCGCCATGGGGACCATGGGCGGCGGGGGAGGTGGCGGAGGGCAGGGAGGCGGTGGGGGTGGCGGCGGAGCCGCCACTGGTGCCGGCCTGACAACATCTTCCGTCGGAGACATTGATACTGTCGACGAAACAACATTCTCGGAGGTCGGTGACGTGGCCGCTGATAACCCCGCGGTTCCATTAGATAGACTAGCAACTGTCGAGCCTTTGGTAAGTGTCCCCGTAAGGGTTTCAAGCTCTATTATCTTGCTCTCGAGAACGCTCTGTCGTCTCGCAGAATCTTGTTTTTGTCTTTTAAGAGCCGTCAGCTCTTCTTCTACTAATCGACGAGCGTCGAGAGCGTCAACGTATTCTACTTTTATCGCACCCAGTTCAGTCTCTAGTTCTGCCAATTTTAATAATGATTCTCTTTCCAATTCTGTCATCCTGTCGTGGGCCTTTAATAGAAAAAATTAAGAAATTACCTTGTATCTTGTGAACTATTGACATTTTTAAAGATATAAGCTCATCCTGATGTTACACTCATCGAGACCTTTCATTTGAGTACCCACAGCAATTTTTCATATATTTTATATATTTATATATTTCATAAATACTATATATATGAAATATATAAAAAATACCATGTAGGTACTTAAATGAAAGGTCTCGATGAGTGTAACTTCGAAATGAGCTAATATTTTAAAAAGTGTCAATAATTAGGAAATGACATTGTATTTTGTCAACTATTGACATTTTTAAAGATATAAGCTCATCCCGACATTGCACTCATCGAGACCTTTCATTTGAGTACCCACATCAATTTTTCATATATTTATATATATTATATATATGTATATATGAAAAATATATCAAAAATGCAAGTGGGTACTCAAATAAAAGGTCACGATGAGTGTAATATCAGGATGAGCTTGTATTTTAAAAAATGTTAATTTTATATATTTATATATTTCATAAATACTATATATATGAAATATATAAAAAATACCATGTAGGTACTTAAATGAAAGGTCTCGATGAGTGTAACTTCGAAATGAGCTAATATTTTAAAAAGTGTCAATAATTAGGAAATGACATTGTATTTTGTCAACTATTGACATTTTTAAAGATATAAGCTCATCCCGACATTGCACTCATCGAGACCTTTCATTTGAGTACCCACATCAATTTTTCATATATTTATATATATTATATATATGTATATATGAAAAATATATCAAAAATGCAAGTGGGTACTCAAATAAAAGGTCACGATGAGTGTAATATCAGGATGAGCTTGTATTTTAAAAAATGTTAATGATTAAGAAATTACATTGTATCTTGTGAACTATTGACATTTTTAAAGATATAAGCTCATCCTGATGTTACACTCATCGAGACCTTTTATTTGAGTATCTACATCAATTTTTCATATATTTATATATATTTCACAAATATCATATATATAAAATATATGAAAAATACCATGTGGGTATTTAAATGAAAGGTCTCGATGAGTGTAACATTGAAATGAGTTTATATCTTAAAAAATGTCAATAATTGAAAAATTACATTGTATCTCGTGAACTATTGACATTTCTAAAGATATAAGCTCATCCCGATGTTACACTAATCGAGACCTTTCATTTGAGTACCTACACCAATTTTTCATATATTTTATATATTTATATACATCACAAATACCATATATATATATAAAATATATGAAAAATACCATGTGGGTACTTGAATGAAAGGTCTCGATGAGTGTAACATCGAAATGAGTTTATATCTTAAAAAATGTCAATAATTAAAAAATTACATTATATCTTGTCAACTAATGATATTTTTAAAGATATAAGCTCATATTGATATTACACTCATTGAGACCTTTCATTTAAGTACCAACATCAATTTTCCATATATTTCATATATTTATATATATGTATATACGAAAAATATATAAAAAATGCATGTGGGTACTCAAATGAAAGCTCTTGATGAGTGTAACATCAGGATGAGCTTATATCTTTATAAATGTCAATAGTTAAAAAAGTACAGAGTAATTTAACAAAAGTCATTATTTAATGCTAGTTGCTAGTTTTTTTTTAATAAAAAATTTGACTAAATTTTTTTTCTAAAAAATTTATAAATTTTTACGTCCACATTTAAAAAAAAATTTCAATTTTTTAAGATAAAAACTTTGACTCAATAATTTTTTTTTTAAATAAAAAAAAAAAATATTCATGTTAGTACATAAATATTTCTTGAAAAAAATAAAGATATTTATATAGCACGACCAATTAAAGATTAGATAAATTAAAATGTATGAGAGAAAAAAAAAAGAACTTACATGTCCAAGTTCGTCTTCTAGTTCAGCAACTTTTTCTAGAGCAGCCGTTTTAGTTTCGCTGTCTTCCATAAGAGCTGCTACGTCAAATACATTATCCAGATAAGCTGAGATTTGAACCTGAAAAAAGATAAAATAAATAAAGTAACATACCATAAAATAAATTAAATAAAAAAAAAAGGAATCTTAAAGATTGCATACCTGCAAATCTTCACTTTCAGTGTGTCGTAATTTTTCCAGATACTCATCGAGGCCAAGATTGGTAAATTCGTACTGCAGGTGGACTCGAAAATTCATATCTTCAACCGAGTGGACGACAATATTTACAAACTGCATACACGCTACCATAAACTCAATGTGAAAATTGTCGTACTGGGTGAAGTACGCCATCAGAGTTTCGAAGCGCTTTTTCTCCAAGCAAACTTCCTTGAAGTTATCAAACGCCGAGAGAATAATCTCGTGGCCGCCTTTAACCAGACAAATAGCCGCTAGTAATTCTAGTACAAGGGCCTTTGTTCTCAAACTTTTGTGGATTAAGCTAAGTGCTATACAATTAATAGCTTCCCTGTGCTGGATCACCATGTTGAAGCCGTACTGCGGATTAAATTAGGGAGAATTTAGTAATTAGGCGTTGAGGTAAGGGTCAGGGGATTATATTAATTAAATATAATTTATTATTATTATTGTTTTTATCAAAGATTAATTTAATATTTAAAAATAATTAATGAAATTTTTTAAAGTATTTTTTTTAATAATAATTCATTTATTAAGAGAATTATGATTATTATAATAATTAAGAAATGATCTCGTATCTTGTGAACTATTGACATTTTTGAAGATATAAGCTCATCCTGATGTTACACTCATCGAGTCCTTTCATTTGAGTACCCACATCAATTTTTCATATATTTTATATATTTATATATTTCACAAATACCATATATATGAAATATATGAAAAATGCCATGTTGGTACTCAAATGAAAGGTCTCGATGAGTGTAATGTCGGGATGAGCTTATATCTAAAAAAAGGTCTATAAGTAAGAAATTACATTGTATCTTATCAACTATTGACATTTTTAAAGATATAAGCTCATCTTAACATTACATTCATGAAGACCTTTTATTTGAGTACCCACATCAATTTTTCATATATTTATATATATTATATATATGTATATATGAAATATATATCAAAAATGCATGTGGGTACTCAAATGAAAGCTCTTGATGAGTGTAACATCGGGATGACCTTATATCTTTAAAATCGTCAATATTTAAGAAAGTACAGTGCAATTTAACAAAAGTCATTATTTAATTATTATTACTACAACTATTTTTTTTGTTGTATTTTTTTTATTAAAGATTAATCTAATATTTATTTTGTATTTAAAAAATTCAAATTGTTCTTAAAGAATAAATTATTATGAAGAAAACATAAAAAAATTATTAATTTTTTTTTTACGAAAATTGTTATTATAATTATTAAAGAAAGTTTATAATATACCTTGTTATTCATAATAGCACGCATACAAAGTATACAAACATGAATGTCATCCTTAGCTTCACCCATGTTAAGTTTGGCTACATGTCTCGAACGTCGTTTAACACTTGGACTGTCTTTCAGCTCGTGTAGAGGTGGCCGTAGACAGCCATTATTAAGTGACACAGTCTCAATTACACCACCTACGGTCAAAGTAATTTAAAATTTAATATATCGGCCCATGTGGGTTTTTATTTATATTTGTTATTTAAATTAAATTAAATGAAAACATAATCTAACTGACTTGTTTGGATTTTCTCCTCAGACTCCGTTCGGATTTCCATCGCTCGCTGCTCGTGTCGCATCATCAGTAGTCGGAAGCTCAAGTAATCTATCAGCGCATCCAGGCCTTGGTTTTCTTCGTCCAAAAATTCTCTGACCCACCTTAAAAAAATTTTTTTATCAGTCATAAATTAAAAATTGAATAATCTTTACTTCAAATAATTAAAAAATAATTAGTGAAGAAATTAAAGATATATTTTCTTTAACTTCAATTTTTTGGTTTATAACTTCTATTAATTTAATTTACAATTTTTATCTTATCAATCTTTCGATTGATAAAAGAAATTATTAAAAAAATTTACAGTACTATTTTATGAGGAAGCTCAAATAAATATTTAAAATAGGCGTATTGTTAAATTATTAATAAAAAAAAAATAAAGATCAGCCTACTCGATATGATTTGTCCTTAGTGATATCTCCAGATCTCGAAGAACTTGGGTTGACGTTGATTCACCGACCATTTTTCTCTTCTGAAAAAAAATATAATTAATAATTAACCAGAAAAACAAATAACACAACTTAATTCATAAATTTATATAAAAAAAAATTATTTAATAATTTTTATTTTAAATTTAAAGTCTCGGATTTTTTAATTTATTAAATTATAAATAAAAAATATTTTTAAAAAATTGCACTTATAGTTCTTCAAGTTTTTTACAATTAAAAATTTTTTTTCTAATTTCTGTGCTATAATTTATTTGTTAAAAAAATTATTAAAAAAATTACATTTTTACTTTTTTTTTTTAAATTTCTAATTGTCAATTTTTGTGCAATAATTTATTTTTTATAAAAATTATTGCATTTTTAATTTTTTTCAATTTCTAAGTGTCAATTTTTTTTTTACCATAATTTATTTGTTAAAAAAAATTATTTACAATTATTAAATATCTTCCAAATTAATTTTCATAAAATTAGACAACATTAAAAAATTTTTCTATTTTTTCCAACAGTTTTTTAATAAAAAAAAATATAAAATTTTTTTAATGTCACCTAACTTTATTATAATATTTTATTTTACTTAAAAAAAATTTTGAACCCACGCAAGTATCAGTTTTAACGGAGGGTCGTTCGTTTTCTAGGATTGGAAATAGAAAAACTAATTTTAAAATAAAAATATTAATTAAATTATAAATCATGAATGCGTTAAAATAAATTAAATTCTACTGAAAATCCATAAATTTTCTCAAACGCCTACTGCTTGTAAGCCCAAACATTTTATTGAACGCTTAAATATTTTATTACTCAGTTAAATAAATTCAGTTAGTAAGTACATAATAAAAAAGTTGATCTCTTTAACTTGGATTTAGTAGTAAAAAATTTATACAGTGACTCGTTAGTTAACACATTTTTACTATCGGTCAATTTATGACTCAGAATCTCTGAATTTATTGTTCACAGGACTAAAAATTTTTTTTATCCCAAAAAACGGCCTTGAGAATGTGATTCATTGAAGATAAATCTAATTATTACTTTACGGATAAGTGAAATCACTGTTTTTTTAATGACTTCATAATTTGGTAATTTTTTACCTAAAAGAAGAAAGAAATCAAGTGATTTATGGCGCTTAGCTGTATTATTGCTTCAGCTGCTAAGATCTAAGCGCCCTCTATGTTCTATTTTTAGAATTCAGAAATATCACAGTTATTTTATCAATAACTTGGAAAAATTTTAACGATTATTGAAAAAAAAAGAGTAAATTTATGATCTTGCTATCTTAAAGTTTGTAAAAAAATTTATTTTGTATATTTATTAAATTTAAATTAAATAAAATTTGATAATTAAATCGCAAAGTGAGAGTTGCGATTCAAAATGGCGGATTTTTGCCAAGTGGTGATTTTTATAACTAATTTTTTTAATTATTAATTAGATATTAATAACATTAAATTATCAATATTAAAAAAATATATTTTGCTAGCTTAAAAAATTTTTTTATATTACATTTTTATGAAAAAAATTTTAAATATATTTTTTTTAATAAAAATTAATAAATAATCTTTTTTTTTTAATTTTTACATACCGAATTTTAATAAAAATTTTTTTACTGTCTTTTGATTGAATTATTATAAATTAATTTTAATTTTTGATAAAATTAGAATTATAACAAATTAATAAAAAAAATTTTTAATGAATTTTTTATCTTAAAAATTAATAAATAAAATTTTTTATCTTAAAAATTGTTAAATAAAATTTTTTTTTCAATTTTTATAGACCGAATTTAATGAAAATTTTTTTTGCTGTCTTTTGATATAATTATCATAAATTAATTTTAATTTTTTTAATTTTTGATAAAATTAGAATTATAGAAAATTAATAAGAAAAATTTTTAATTAATTTTTTATCTTAAAAATTATTAAATAAAATTTTTTTTTCAATTTTTGCATGCCGAAAAAAAAAATTTTTTTTGCTGTCTTTTATTAAAAATATTATAAATTATTTTTAATTTTTGATAAAATTAAAACTTTAAAAAATTATTAAAATTTTTTTTTTAATATTATTATTAAATAATAAAATTAATAAAAATAAATAAACATACTCGATGACTTCTAGATGCTTTAGGATCCAAATAAGTTCTTAATTTGGCAAGATAGTGTGAGGGTGGATCCTTAGCTTGAACTCGTTCCTGTAAATAAAAAAAAAATTATTTAATATCTTCATATATAATAAAAAAAAAATAAAATATATAAATACATAAATAATAAATAATACGAACACATAATTAAGATAAAATTGTGAAAATAAATAAAAATAAATTAACGTCATTTACGTTATTACAAAAATGCGTGTAAACAAATGTCTAATTAAATTTTCCATCCGTGTATTTAGTATCTCTTTCATGCCTACGCTGTGTCCACATTCACACGGACACAAATGAACTCAAATATACACCCAGACGATATATGTATGCACATAATTTGTGGGTTCTAAGAATAAACTTATTTTAAGCCACACAAGTATTAAAAAACTGTCTAAGCCGAGTTTCTCTTTTTACTTTATATATATAAATTTTTTTTTCATTTCTTCCGGTTGTAAATCCTAACTCGAAGGTCACATTATCTTTAAATAATTTAACGATTCATCAATTAAACATAAACACTTGAGTTATTAAATAAATTTCTTCTCATCTCGTATCAACGCAACAATAAAAATATTCACTGGTTTACATTTACTGCCGCAATAAATTTTTCTTTATTGACCAAACAAATTTTACATCAATAAAGTATTATAAAAAATAAACAGTTTTAATTTAGAGCAAGATTTTATTTTAATGATTCAAAATCTTCAAGAAAAAATTATTTAAAAATTGAGCCCTTTTAGTTTTCAAAGGTTAAGGGCCCAACTTGAAGTTTTCTTATAATTTTACCACGCAAAGAGCTTGTTCTTTTAAAAATTTCCACATAGCTTAATTCTGAATAAATTAATGTGAATGTTTCTGAAGAAAAATCTTTTTCTGGACTGATAAAAAAATTTTCTTGATTAAAGAGAAAAAATGTTTAGCCAATAAAATAATTTTGAAGAATTAGATTGTCTTGAATAAAATAAAAAAGTTGTTGAACTAAGAAACTTTAATTGGTTTGAGTAAATTTAGCTTAATTAAATAATTTTTGGTGGTGATTAAAGACGATGAAACTCTTTAAAGTGATTGCCTTGGCTCAAAGAGTGTCTTTCTTGAATCAAGTTAATTTTTTTATCACTGTAGAAAAAAATGTTGGAACATTTTGTTCCTTCATTCACTAAAATAATTTCTCTTGAGAAATATTCGTCCAGTAACATTTGGTAAACACATTGCTCCAACAGGACAACCTTTATAATTGACTAAGCTCTTTAAATTTCAAATCAAAGTTACTAAAGTAATTATTTCTTCAATTATTTATAAAATTTTACTTTTTATTTCTGATATTTGAATTTATTTAAAATAATCCAATCATTTTAACGCTTTCATCAATTTATTTATACATTCTAATATTATTACTACAGAGAAAACAAGTAATTTAACACCTATAAAATCCAATTTCATTTTTAGTATCAATAACTTAAAACTTTTCATTTAAAAACTTCATTAAAATAATTTATAAAAATTAAATTCATCATTTTTTTGACAACCCACCTCAATAATAATTAATAAATTTAAATATCCGTAATTTCACCTTAAATTTTTCCAAGCTCTGATTATCGCTAACAAAACTTTCATTGTCAATCTTAATCACCAATTAAAATCATTGCCTTAATTTAATAAAAATTTTTTTAATTAATTTCAATGAAGCATTAAAATTTCTCAATTAAATCTAAACCAAAACTAATTTCAATTCTTTAAATAATTAACAGTAAAAATTTTTCTTAACTTTACTTTCAAAATCGATCACAAAAAATTCACTAAACTCATTTCTAAAAAAACTTTTATTTAATTTGTCGTTGAACGACAGAACGAGTGAACAAGTAAATAACAAACCCGAATGAAAGAGAGAGTAAAGAAAAATATTCAGATCGAGAAGAAAAAAAAGCAAGATTGAAATTTTTCTTCCAAGACTGGGCCCATAACCTGTAGAACTAAATTTAATATTTTTAATCTATTTCTTCTTTTACAATTTTGACTAAAGTTATTTATAACGAAATGTACTTAAAAGTATTTACCAAAAAAAGAAAAGAAGCTATCAGAAACATGTGTTAGTGTTTTGCCGGTTTTTTTTCGGGTATAATAACGCGGGTTGCATTACATCCGTCTCAAGTGAAGTATATGTACTTAATATACTATATCCTGAAGTAAAGACATGAGAGTACAGGATCGGAGTGAATAACAATCCGGTCGTGTATAAATTTTGCCGATAAATAAATCCGTGCTATCAAATTTCGTGTTTCTTATTCGGTGTTGTGCTGATCGCGTGAAAACCAGAAGCTCTCTCTCAAACGTAACAACATTTATCTTTTGCATAACATTTATCATGATTTACGGGCTCTACTTAACTCAATATCCGCCACTTAATAAATGTACACAAGTCGTCGTATAATAAAATCCCTCATTATTTATTATTTATTTAATACCGTAGATTTTAATCAATAGCAATGCTACCGAACGCAAGAATTATTTAAGAAATAAAAATTTAATACATCTAAAGTCTGCGAATAAATATTAATTTATAAATATATAAATGGTAACAGCACAAATTATTGTTTGCGATAATTATTGCTAATATTACATAATTTGTTACGTCGGCTTTCTATGCTACAATTACAATTGTAATTCATAATCATATAGATAAATATCGATTGGAATTAAAATTACAAACATTGTGCTAGCTTTTATTTTAGTTAAAGAGATTGCGTGTCTTTCTTTATTATTATTATTATTATTATTATATTGAATATTTTTTTTCGACTCACAAATCAGCTCGTAAATGTATGTAAGTGTGCATGTGTAAGAGAATTGTTGTTGGGTGTATATTGACGGATAATAGGCTCTACTCGTACAATGAGTATGATGAACTTACTTGATCACATATGATATCCCACTTCTTTTCATTGTCGTATTGCTTCAAAAGCTTTGCTTTGTCGGGTGGTAAATCCATTGATGCCTGAAACATATGGACGGTTTTTTTTTTGTTAGTTACAATTATTGTACGGTTTTATTGAATTTTATTTATAATTTATAATTATCAATTATTGTTATGTATAGAAAATTTTTCAATTGTATCTCGTGAACTATTGACATTTTTAAAGATATAAGCTCATCCCGATGTTACACTCATCAAGACCTTTCATTTGAGTACCCACATTAATTTTTCATATATTTTATATATTTATATATTTTAAAAATACCATATATATAAAATATATAAAAAATGCCATGTGGGTACTCAAATGAAAGGTCTTGATGAGTGTAACATCGAAATGAGTTTATATCTTAAAAAATGTCAACAATTAAGAAATTACAATATATTTTGTGAAATATTGACATTTTTAAAGATATAAGCTCATCCCGACAT